GTTGGCGGTCTCCCTGCCCCCGCCCCTTTTAGCCACAACCCGCCTGTGCTGGGCTGGACTCTGGGGGACCAATAAGCCCCTCTCTGTGCTACGACGGGTGGAGTCTGTTTGGGCTGCAGGATTTGGGGGACCCCGGCTCGCCGTGACCCAGGGCCCCTCGGGGCCAATTGGCCATAATTCCAGGGCGGTCCTTCGGGCCAATGGGCCATAACTCCATGGCGGTCCATGGGGCCAGCCCCCCAACTGGGGCCAATTGGCCATAATTCCAGGGCGGTCCTTCGGGCCAATGGGCCATAACTCCATGGCGGTCCATGGGGCCAGCCCCCCAACTGGGGCCAATTGGCCATAATTCCAGGGCGGTCCTTCGGGCCAATGGGCCATAACTCCATGGCGGTCCATGGGGCCAGCCCCCCAACTGGGGCCAATTGGCCATAATTCCAGGGCGGTCCTTCGGGCCAATGGGCCATAACTCCATGGCGGTCCATGGGGCCAGCCCCCCAACTGGGGCCAATTGGCCATAATTCCAGGGCGGTCCTTCGGGCCAATGGGCCATAACTCCATGGCGGTCCATGGGGCCAGCCCCCCAACTGGGGCCAATTGGCCATAATTCCAGGGCGGTCCTTCGGGCCAATGGGCCATAACTCCATGGCGGTCCATGGGGCCAGCCCCCCAACTGGGGCCAATTGGCCATAATTCCAGGGCGGTCCTTCGGGCCAATGGGCCATAACTCCATGGCGGTCCATGGGGCCAGCCCCCCAACTGGGGCCAATTGGCCATAATTCCAGGGCGGTCCTTCGGGCCAATGGGCCATAACTCCATGGCGGTCCATGGGGCCAGCCCCCCAACTGGGGCCAATTGGCCATAATTCCAGGGCGGTCCTTCGGGCCAATGGGCCATAACTCCATGGCGGTCCATGGGGCCAGCCCCCCAACTGGGGCCAATTGGCCATAATTCCAGGGCGGTCCTTCGGGCCAATGGGCCATAACTCCATGGCGGTCCATGGGGCCAGCCCCCCAACTGGGGCCAATTGGCCATAATTCCAGGGCGGTCCTTCGGGCCAATGGGCCATAACTCCATGGCGGTCCATGGGGCCAGCCCCCCAACTGGGGCCAATTGGCCATAATTCCAGGGCGGTCCTTCGGGCCAATGGGCCATAACTCCATGGCGGTCCATGGGGCCAGCCCCCCAACTGGGGCCAATTGGCCATAATTCCAGGGCGGTCCTTCGGGCCAATGGGCCATAACTCCATGGCGGTCCATGGGGCCAGCCCCCCAACTGGGGCCAATTGGCCATAATTCCAGGGCGGTCCTTCGGGCCAATGGGCCATAACTCCATGGCGGTCCATGGGGCCAGCCCCCCAACTGGGGCCAATTGGCCATAATTCCAGGGCGGTCCTTCGGGCCAATGGGCCATAACTCCATGGCGGTCCATGGGGCCAGCCCCCCAACTGGGGCCAATTGGCCATAATTCCAGGGCGGTCCTTCGGGCCAATGGGCCATAACTCCATGGCGGTCCATGGGGCCAGCCCCCCAACTGGGGCCAATTGGCCATAATTCCAGGGCGGTCCTTCGGGCCAATGGGCCATAACTCCATGGCGGTCCATGGGGCCAGCCCCCCAACTGGGGCCAATTGGCCATAATTCCAGGGCGGTCCTTCGGGCCAATGGGCCATAACTCCATGGCGGTCCATGGGGCCAGCCCCCCAACTGGGGCCAATTGGCCATAATTCCAGGGCGGTCCTTCGGGCCAATGGGCCATAACTCCATGGCGGTCCATGGGGCCAGCCCCCCAACTGGGGCCAATTGGCCATAATTCCAGGGCGGTCCTTCGGGCCAATGGGCCATAACTCCATGGCGGTCCATGGGGCCAGCCCCCCAACTGGGGCCAATTGGCCATAATTCCAGGGCGGTCCTTCGGGCCAATGGGCCATAACTCCATGGCGGTCCATGGGGCCAGCCCCCCAACTGGGGCCAATCCGCCATAGCTCCATGGCGGTCCATGGGGCCAGAGGGACTAATGGGCTACAACTCCATGGTGGTCCAGGGGCCAATGGTCCATAACTCCATGGCAGTCCATGGGGCCAGCCCCCCAACTGGGGCCAATTGGCCATAATTCCAGGGCGGTCCTTCGGGCCAATGGGCCATAACTCCATGGCGGTCCATGGGGCTAGGCCCCCAGGTGCTGCTCCATTGGAACGGATGGAGCTTTGCCTTCTGACAGGAGCCGTGGGGCTGGCCTGGGGAGCTCCCCCAGGCTCAGCCGGGGCTGTCCGGTGGTCCCAGGGCTGGGGAGCTGCCCGGGGAAAGGCGCCTGCCACCCAG